GCTGAAGAGCTGAGGGACAGCGCCCAGGCCCAGAGTTCAGGCCCCACAACTGACAAAAACAAAAAAAAACATTGGGATTCTGTGCTTCTTTTTTTGGCCAGTCCTGGGGCTTGAACTGAGTGCCTGGGCACTGTCCCTGAGCTGCTTTCTGCTTAAGGCTAGCGCTCTACCACTTTGAGCCACAGCCCAACTTCCACATTTTGAGTGGTTCATTGGAGATAAAGAGTCTCACAGACTTTCCAGTCTGGGCTGGCTTGGAACCTCGATCCTCAGATCTCAGCCTCTTGAGGAGCTACGATTACAGGTGTGAGCCACCAACACCTGGCAATTTTCCTCTTCTCCTGCAGACTGACGCCGACCCTGAAGTTTGCAAGAAAATGTGCAAGAAGAATGAGTTCGAGTCCGTCCTGGCCTTGGTGGCCTATTACCAAATGGTATATGCAAGCCGGGGGTGAGAGGGTGTGGAGGGGTAGGGATGAGCGGGGGGGGGGGGAATCCGCAGCCACACCCGCACCCCCTCCTGGACCCTGAGCACACACAAGATCCTCTGCCAGGAACACCGAACATCACTGCGGCTGCTGCTTCTCAAGTGCTTTGGCGCCATGTGTAGCCTGGATGCGGCCATCATCTCCACGCTGGTGTCGTCTGTGCTGCCCGTGGAGTTGGCACGGGACATGCAGACGGACACACAGGGTGAGGTCAGGGGTGGGGGTGGGGTGTCAAGGAGCTTCCTAGCATCTCAAGATGGGGGTGGAGGGGGGGCTCCATCATTTGCAGGGTTCCTGCCATCTTTGGGGAGTACTGATTGCCTGCCTTCCCTTTCCTCTCCCCCTACCCCCTATAGACCACCAGAAACTCTGCTACTCGGCCCTCATCCTCGCCATGGTCTTCTCCATGGGAGAGCCAGTGCCCTACGCACACTACGGTAAGAATGACGTGTGACTGCTACTTGGGCTGGGGAGGTGGCTCAGTGGTCGAGTGCTTGCCTTGCATGCATGAGGCCCTGGGTTCAATTCTTCAGCATCACATAAGCAGAAAAAAGCTGGAAGTGGCCCTGTGGCTCAAGTGGTAGAGTGCTCACCTTGAGCTGAAGAGCTGAGGGACAGCACCCAGGCTCAGAGTTCAGGCCCCAGGACTGTCAAAAAGAAATACTGGAGGGGCTAGGAAGGTGGCTCAGTGGTAGAGTGCTTGCCTTGCATGTATGAGGCCCTGGGTTCGATTCCTCAGTACCACATAAGCAGAAAAAAAAGCCAGAAGTGGCGTTGTGGCTCAAGTGGTAGAGTGCTAGCCTTGAGCTGAAGAGCTGAGGGACAACGCCCAGGCCCAGAGTTCAGGCCCCACGACCGGATCAAAAAAAAAAAAAAAGAAATACTGGAAGTGGCGCTGTGGCTGAAAGTGGTAGAATGCTAACCTTGAGCACAAAATCTCAGGATTCAAGTCCTAGGATGAGCCCCTCCCTCTCCTCCAAAATAAAAGCATACACACTACTGATCAGCCCATCCTGGGTCCCAGAGGTGTAGGGTCTATGACCCAGAGATCTGAAGATCTGCTAACCAGTGCTTCTGGTAGAACTAGGTTGTCTCTAAGGCTCACTGGAACTCCAGAGGATGGGTGATACGGCAAGGAAGAGACAGACATCTGTGTGCCTCTGTTCTAGAACATCTGGGCACCCCTTTCGCCCAGTTCCTCCTGAGTATTGTTGAGGATGGGCTGCCTTTGGACACCACCGAGCAACTGCCGGACCTCTGCGTGAACCTACTTTTGGCTCTCAACCTGCACCTGCCAGGTGGGAAGGGAACCCTCAACTGGAGGGTGACAGAACCACAGGAAGGGGCTGGGAAGGTGGCTCAGTGGTAGAGTGCTTGCCTAGCACCCAGGAAGCCCTGGGTTCGATTCCTCAGTACCATATACACAGAAAAAGCCGGAAGTGGCGCTGTGGCTCAAGTGGTAGAGCGCTGGCCTTGAGCAAAAGTTAGGGACAGTATCCAGACCCTGAGTTTAAGCCCCAGAACTGGCCAAAAAAAAAAAAAAAAAAAGCTGGGGCCTATAAGTGGCTCATGCCTATAATCCTAGCTACTCAGGAGGCTGAGATCTGAGGATGGAGATTCAAAACCAGCCTGGGCAGGGAAGTCCGTGAGACTCTTATCTCCAATAAACCACCAGAAAACCGGAAGTGGCGCTGTGGCTCAAGTGGTAGAGCGCTCACCTTGAGCTGAAGAGCTCAGGGACAGCGCCCAGGCCCAGAGTTCAAGCCCCAGGACTGACCAAAAAAACAAAAACAAAAAAACATGGGGAGCTTTCCAGGCTCCATCCATACCTGTGCTTGTGATTTCTTCTTCAGCACCTGACCAGAATGTCATCATGGCCGCCCTGAGCACACACTCGAATGTCAAGATCTTCTCTGAAAAGCTGCTCTTGCTTGTGAACAGAGGGGGTAAGGACCCAGGAACCTGTTGCAGCCATTTTTTTTTTAACTCGATCCTCACTTCCTCCCCTTCCTTACACCCTCATTCACTCATCTAACCCACTGGGGTGACCTGGGAACCTCAGCAAAGACATCCCCTGACCCTTGTGATCTCCTGCCCTCTAGATGACCCCGTTCGCATCTTCAAACACGAGCCCCAGCCACCCCACTCTGTCCTCAAGTTCCTACAGGACGTGTTCAGCAGCACGTCCACGGCCGCCATTTTCTACCACACAGATATGATGGCTCTCATCGAAATCACTGTTCGCCACATCGCTGACCTGTCACCAGGAGACAAGGTGCCTGGAAGTTGCCACCAAAGCAATGGTCACTGAGTGGAAATGGAGCTCAAATTTGAGGGGTGGAGTGGGGATATAATACTCGGTGGAGATGAGGGCTGAGGTTGAAGCCAGGTTAAGTGTAAGAGGATACTCAGAAGCCAGGACCAGGCTGGGAAGGTGGCTTAGTGGTAGAGTGCTCGCCTAGCATGCAGGAAGCCCTGGGTTCCATTCCACAGTACCACGTAACACAGAAAAAGACAGAAGTGGCGCTGTGGCTCAAGTGGTAGAGTGCTAGCCTTGAGCAAAAGAAGCTCAGAGACAATGCCCAGGCTCCAAATTCAAGTCCCAGGTCTGGCAGAAAAAAAAAAAAAAAAAGATGGGGCACCAGTGGCTCATGCCTGTAATCCTAGCTACTCAGGAGGCTGAGATCTGTGGATTTGAGATTTGAAGCCAGGCAGAGCAGAAAAGACTGTGAGATTCCAACAAACCACCAAAAGGCTGGTAGTACAGCTATGGCTCAAGTGGTAGAAAGCTAGACTTGAGCAAATAAAGCCAAGTGAGACTGTAAAGCCCTGCGTTCAAGCCCCAGATAGGAAGAGAAAGAGAGACAGAGAGAGAAACAGACAACAGAAAATGTATTGAGGAAGAGAATAGGCTACTAGAGGAGACAAGTAGGTAAGGCAGAAGTTGGTCATATCCATCCACACAGGACCCAGAGCAGTTCTTATTCTGGTAGGAACAGGTAGAATGTAACTGCAAGAGTGAAAAACAGGGGCTGGGAATGTGGCTTTGTGGTAGAGTGCTTGCCTAGCAAGCATGAAGCCCTGGGTTCGGTTCCTCAGTACTACATAAACAGAAAAAGCTATCCAGGCACCGATGGCTCACACCTCTAATCCTAGCTACTCAGGAGGCTGAGATCTGAGGATCATGGTTCAAAGCCAGCTGGGGCAGGAAAGTCCCTGAGACTATTATCTCCAATAAACCAGGAGAAAACCAGAAGTAGCTCTGTGGTTCAAGTGGTAGAGGGTTCGCTTTGAGCTGAAGAGCTGAGGGACAGCGCCCAAGCCCAGAGTTCAGGCCTGACGGCCAACAAAAAAAGAAAGAAAAAAAAGGGAAAAAAAACCTTTGTTTTTCTTCTTTTTTTTTTTTTTGGCCAGTCCTGGGGCTTGAGCTCAGGGCCTTAGGCGCTATCCCTCAGCTCTTCAGCTCAAGGCTAGTGCTCTACCACTTGAGCCACAGCACCACTTCTGGCTTTTTCAGTTTGTGTGGTGCTAAGGAATCAAACCCAGGGTCTCATGCATGTGAGGAAGCACTCTACCACTGAGCCACCTTCCCAGCCCAGGAGTTTCTGAAAGATTGCTTTTGTTTCCTCTATGAAGCACAAGGCTAGCTGGCCAAGCAAAAGAGGCTCAGTAGTCCTGAAAACAGTGGACATGGCAGAGACCTCTGGGAGGCCCCAGTTGAGGACTGGGATAATGACTGAAGTCCACACATTAGGACTTAGATGGGTGTTGTTGCCCGAAGGAGTGGATAGACAGGCCCCACCTCTAAAGAATTTCCAGGACTTCCCTTGATAGAGCCACGTCTGGGACTCTATCTGGCTGTAGAGAATTGTTTGTTTGTGCCAGTCCTGGGCTTGAACTCAGGGCCAGTTTTTTTTTTGTTTTTGTTTTTTGTCGGTCATGGGGCTTGAACTCTGGACCACTTGAGCCACTGTGCCACTTCTGGTTTTCTGAGTGATGTGTTGGAGATAAGAGTCTCAGGGACTTTTCTGCCTGAGCTGGCTTTGAACTGTGATCCTCAGATCTCAGCCTCCTGAATAGCTAGGATTACAGCATGAGCCACCGCCACCGGCTCAGCTTTTTTTTTTTTTAACTTAAAACATCCATTTACTATAGATAAGACATATTAACCCAAATAAAATACAGGGAAGCAAAATCTTATACATAAAAGATACATTGTGGGGCTGGGAATGTGGCTTAGTGGTAGTGTGCTTGCCTAGTGTGCATGAAACCCTGGGTTTGATTCGGCTCAGCTTTTTTTTTAAGCCCCTCCCCCTTTTTTCTTTGGTCATTTGTGGGCCTTGAACTCAGGACTTGGGTGCTGACCCTGAGCTCTTTTGCTCGTCTAGTATTATACCACTTTGAGCCATAGTGCCACTTCTGGTTTTCTGGTGATTAGTTGGAGGTAAGAGTATCATAGACTTTCCTGCTTGGTCTGGCTTTGAACCCAGATTCTCAGATCTCAGCCTCCTGAGCAGCTAGGATGACAGGTGTGAGCCACCAGCACTCAGCTCATTCATTCATTACTTTTTTTTTTTCTTTTTTAATGCTAGTCCTGGGGCTTGAATTCAAGGGGTCAGCACTGTCCCTGAGTTTCTTCTTTTGTTGTTGGTTGTGGGGCCTGAACTCTGGGCCTGGGCGCTGTCTCTGAGCTCTTCATCTCAAGGCTAGCACTCTACCATTGAGCCACAGTGCCACTTCTGGCCTTTTCTGCTTATGTGCGGCTGAGGAATTGAAGCCAGGGCCTCATGCATGCAAGACAAGCACTGTACCACTGAGCCACCTTCCTAGCCCCATCTCTGAATTTCATTTTGCTCAAGGCTAGCGCTCTACCACCACTTGAGCTTTTTTCCTGTGTGTGTGCTACTGAGGAATCGAACCCAGGGCTTTGTGCATGCTAGGCAAGCACTGTACCCCTAAGCCACAATCCCAACCCCCATAGAACACCTCCTGAAGGCCATTTCTGCATCAGGTGCTAGGGACGCAGTACGGTTATTCAAGTTGTGTGTGCTGGTCCTTAACCCTGGGGTCCATGGGGCAGCCGTGGCTGGGTGGAGGCTTCCCTGAGCCCCCCTGCTCTTCCCACAGCTGCGCATGGAGTACCTGTCCCTGATGTATGCTGTGGTCCGCTCCACACCCTACCTGCAGCACCGCCATCGGCTGCCTGACCTGCAGGCCACGCTCCGGCGCATCCTATTGGAGGAGGAAGTTTCGCCCCAGTGCCAGATGGACCGCATGATTGTCCGAGAGATGTGCAAAGAATTCCCAGTGCTGGGAGAAGCCCCCAGCTAGCATTTCCCTTTTTTTCTCCCTTCCCTGTAGCCCTGGTCAGGGTTACAGGGGACTTCAAGGAGGGGGGTTTACCCTAAGATCATTTTGCACTGGCATTAGGAGTGGATAAAGAAGCAGAAGGACCCCCACCCCCACTGCGCACACTTGAAGTGGAACATAATGATGCACGGGGCCAAATGTAGGATTGGGGACCAAGGTGTGGGAGCTCCACTGGGACGGAAGAAATGTGCAAGCTGAAGTTCAATTCCCCGCCTCTTCAGCATGCCACCCCGCCCCCCACCCCCTGTACCCACGTGCACACCCACAGTCCTGCTATCGCTCCAGGCTGGGCCAGAGTTCCTCACCCTTTATCCTGCCTGCTCTGAGTCCTGGCAGCCGCAGAGCCGTGCCCTTGGGGCGGAGGGAGAAGCCCCTCCCACCAGCTCTTTGCCTTAGCTTTGCAGTGAGTTTGTCGCTCATGTGCAGCCCTGTCTCTGTACCCTTTCTCCCCCCCCTCCCCTAATAAGGATCTGTGCCCACCCCACTCACCCACCCACCCCACTGCTTTCAACCCCCCCAGAGGCCTTGGCCAACCCTGCTACTTGCCAAGCAGGATTCTTGGAAACAGTCCATCCAGCCTGAAACCTCATGAAACAGGACGATGGCACCAAGAATGAAAACAAATGAATCTTATTTTCTCTGTTTCAAAAAAAAAAATGCAGACCGAAAAGCCATGTGTATTTTCCTATGTGCTGCAGCTCATCTTTGGAAATAAATTACAGTCATCTGGAAACAGGATTCTCTGGATGATCCTGGAGGGCGGGACAGCGGAAGCGTAGGGGTGCTGGGGGGCCCCAGCTCCTAAGAGCTCAGTAGCTCTAGTATGCACTGACTTCAGCCCGGTGAGGTGATGGACTCTGACAGGCCTGGATCTCTCTCCATCCCACAGGCTTGGTTTCAGCCTTTCTACTCTGATCTCTCTCTTTTCCCAGAGAGCCATAGTCAATACCCCCTGTAGCCAGGCGCCATTGGCTCACAACTGTCATCCTAGCTACTTAGGAGGCTGAGATCTGAGGATCGCAGTTCAGAGCCAGCCCCGGTAGGAGAGTCTGTGAGACACTTATCTCCAATAAACCACTAGAAAATTGGAAATGTGTTGTGGCTCAAAGTGCTCTCCTTGAGCTGAAGAGCTGAGGGACAGCGCCCAGGCCTAGAGTTCAAGCCCCACAACCAACAAAACCAAAAAATACCCCCTGTAGTCAACTTATGAGGAGCATCTCCAGGCTTTATTCACATCTTCCTTTTTCTTTCTTTCATCCCTCCCTCCCTCCCTTTCCTTTCCTTTCTTTTTTTGGCCAGTCCTGGGGCCTGAACTCTGGGCCTGGGTATTGTCCCTGAGCTCTTCAGCTCAAAGTGAGTGCTCTATCATTTGAGTTACAGCGCCACTTTCAGCTTTTTCTGCTTATGTGGTGCTGAGGAGTTGAACCAAGGGCTTCATGCATGCGAGGCAAGCGCTCTACCACTGAGCCACCTTCCCGTTTTCTGAGTCATCCCTCTTTCTCAGTTGAAACTCTTGTCTTGCATGGCTGTTCCCAAGGAAGCCAGCCTTCCTCCAGCCCCAATATTATCCAGTACTAGTTTCCTTGTAATGGTAGCCACAGCAGAGATGTGATCATTTCGGTAGGTCACAGAATATGTTAACAAGGGTAGAGGTAGGTTTGTAGTCAGTACTGGGTCTTGAACTCAGGGCCTTGCTGTCTGGTTTATCCTTTTCACTCAAGGCTGGTACTGTACCACATGAGCCACACCTCCACTTCTACGGTTTGCTGGTTCATTGGAGATAGGTGTCTCATAGACTTTCCTGCCCAGGTTGGTTTTGAGTCTTGATCTTCAGATCTCAGCCTCCTGAGTAGCTAGGATTACAGGCCTGAGCTACCAGTGCCCAGCTTTTATTTCTTACCCGAGACCCCTTATTCATCAGATGGGGCCACACATCTTCACAGTCACTGGCTTTGACTGGTTTGGAAGAATAGAATTTTTTTTCCCCCAGTCCTGGGGCTTGAACTCTGGGCCTGAGCATGGTCCCTGAGCTTCTTTTGCTTAAGGCTAGCACTGTTACCACTTGAGCCACAGTGCCACTTCTGGCTTTTTCTGTGTATGTGTTACTGAGGAATCGAACCTAGGGATCCATGCAAGCTAGGCAAGCACTCTACCATGAAGCCACCTTCCCAGTCCCTGGAAGTATTTTTTGTAGGCACTTTAGGATTTTTATCTTTTATTTTTTTTGTCAGTCATGGGACTTGAGATTTGTCCACATAGCCAAGACCTAGGATAACACCACTGTCTCTTGCTGATGTCACCTAATTTTTATTTGGGTGTCATAGGACTTGAACCCATGGTCTGGGTGTTGTCTCTGAGCCACTTCAAGTCACAGTGCCACTTCCAGTTTTCTAGTGGTTAAAGGTCCCATGGACTTTCCTGCTCAGTCTGGCTTCAAATTGTGATTCTCAGTTTTCAGCCTCCAGAGTAAGCTAGGCATGGCCAGAACTTCTTCATTCAAACTGTGCCTCAAGTTTCTGCAGGATTTCCCAGATCTTTAACAAGGGTTAGGCACTTCCTCTGCACTTTCCTTCTCACTAGTGCCCAACCTTCCTTCTTTCCTTTAAGTTTATACTCTACTCAGTAGGCTGTGGACCTAGAGAGTGGCATTCCTGGGAGCCAGGTTCCGGTGCCTCACACCTGTAATCTTAACTACTCAGGGAGCCTGAGATCTGAGGATCTGAGTTTGAAGCCAGGCTGGGCAAGAAATTCTGTGAGACCCTGATGTCCAATTAACCACCAAAATGCCAGAAGTGGAACTGTGGTTCAAGGGGGTAGAGTACCAGACGAGTTAAAAAGGTCAGGGACAGGGCCCAGGCCCTGAGTTCCAGCCATAGTACCTGCGGGGGAGTGAGGGGGGCACCCAGTGGCTATCATCCAATGTAATTCCTTTTTCAGTGCCTCTTGGAGGTGTCCCACCTCTAACTACCACGTATAAGAGCCCATCATACGGTGCCTCCGACCCAGAACTCCAACCCTAAGCAGGTTCTTCAGATCCAGGAGAACACAGCGGACACCCAGCCTCGGTTCCTGGTAGCCACGTGGGGGGCCCAGAAGGTGGAACCCGCTGGAGCCCCGCCTCCCGGAAGTCCAAGACTGAGAGAATGTCCTGATTGGTTGCTGGTGATGTCATGGGTGCCCTTAGGGGGGGCGGGCTGGAGATCCGGGTCTGGAGTTCTCGCTCAATCTGAAGCAGGATCTAGGGTGGGGATGGGGCGGGGGGGGGGGGGGGGAGGTTGCACCCAGTGGAATGTTCTGGGTTCTTGGTCCTGATCCTCCTCTCCTGTCTGTGCTAGGATGTTTGTGTACCCCTCTGCACTTGCTACTATAGCCCTTTATTACAGTCGCCCTCGGAGGCTGGTTTGAGACAGCGGCTTCCGGATTCTCCAGGTTGGTTAGAAGCCAACCTCGTCCTTTACAATGAATCCACCGCGCGGGGCGGGGCTTCCCATTGTGCCAATAGAAACAATGACTCGCTGATTGGGCGGCTCCGCCCTCCCTCCCGCCCTCCCGCGGCTTCAAGCCTGGCCATTGGTCGGCCGGAGACCAGCGCCCCGGCCCGGAGTCGATCCCGGGCGGAGGCTGAACGGAGCCCTCGCTCCCTTGAAGGGGTTAAGCGATGATGTTGGTCAAGGGGCGGGGATCTGAGGCAGGTGGGCGCACCTCTGGGGTGGGGGAGGCGGGAGGGGATGGGGGGCAGCTCTGGGCTCCACGTGGCATCCCAGAGCACTCAGGTCCGCGGCCCGCAGAGAGAGAGAGAGAGAGA